TAGACCAGATTCGGTTCATTGAAGGCGGGGAAATTTCCCATATCCTTTTGCTAGCAAAGGGCTGTGAATTACAGAATTAGAAGGAGCTGTTTTAGCCATGGAATCTAACTCCCTGTGCAATGCAGGAATCCAGATTAAAGCATTCCACTACTCTCTCCTTGAACACATCCAATGGAGAAGAATTAGTTGATTCCAGTTCTTACATTGTTAGGAATATTTTTCTAACACTTAGCTGGAATTTGCTTTTCTATACCTTTATTCCCAGTTACAAGTGTTTTAAACCAGGAGCATAAGAATTGTTGCTGCCAACGTCTTCAGAGCAGCCCACAATCCCTTTGCCTTGCCATGCTCCTTTTGGTTCCTATTCCACTGTGTGTGTATTTGTGTAAGTTTGTGTGTTTACATTTATGTGTTTATACGTGTAATGGTGTATATGAATCTATGAGCGTGGATATCTATAAGTGCAGTGCATATTTCTAGCTGTAGGTGCTTAACTTTTCCATTTTTATTTTTATGTACTTTGAATAGCCTGCCCACCTTTTAATGGACCATCTACTTGGATTACAGCTTTTTGCAAGCCTCTCGGACTAATGTGTAGCCTGTTGCATGCTAGACGTTACACACCCCTTTTAGAAACATTCTTCCCTATCTTGTTCCCCTCAACTGTGTTGATTATACAATCCCACCATTTCTCCAGTTTTTGAGGATTGTAGTCCAATGCAACTTAGCTTAGGGAAGGTGGATATAATGGGGGGTTCCTACTCACTCAGCAAAGCCTTCTCTATATATGGAGGCACTCCGTGTGACCTCAGAACCTGGAATCTAGGGCTCTACAGAAAGAAAAGTTTCAGAAGGTCACTGTTTAGGCATCAATGGTGATAGTCTGCTTGTGAGCAACTGGGAATGATAGTGATCTTCCAAAGTTAATCAGGGTCAGACTAAACTGGAAATTGGGGGAGGGGGAGGGAACTTATTGGAACAAGGCAAAGCACTTTTGCACATTGCCAAGAAAACAGTATGACTGATATGAAGTAACATGATATGAAGTTGAACTCACCTGGAGGGAGACTTTCTGGGGTCACCTGATCTTGCCAGCTGAAGGCCGTGATGCCTCTGCTGGTCAACGGTAGGGTGGTGCTACAGAAGAACAGAGAGGAGGCCAGCCATTCTGGTGTTTCCCATTAGGTTTTGGACTTCAGCTCCAAAAACCCTTTGTCATTGCTGGGCAGGTAAGAGTTGAAATCCTGAGTAACTGGAGGGCACCAGCATGCCTACTCACACTTTACAAGGGTGGCATACCTGTAATCCCACAGATATTCTTGGGCTATACCTCTTCAACCTTGATCATCAGGAGGGATGGATGGAAGTGGAAGTCAATAACATAAGACTTAGATGACTGGGCCTTGTTGCAGAACAAGGGTCTAAGGCATTTTAACAACCAGCAGTCAGGCCTTGACTTAGAGTCCACTTTCTTTTGGGGAACTACATTGTGCAGGACTCGGAGGCAGGGAGGATATGAGCAAGGAAAGGGGGCAACAATTTGAGCTGATTGCAGCAAGCAATAAAGAAATGATGACTTCATTCTTTAACATCTTTCCTGTTCCCTTGAAATCTAAATTTGTGACTGAAGCTTGGCAAGTAGGGTCCTGGCATTTGCTTGCACTGGGTTTCCTGATAAATTATGCCATTGTCCTTGCCCTGCCAATAGAGATGTTGAGGCCCACCCTCTTGCACAGATGTTAACCGAGATTTGCTGATACTATTTGTACATCTCTCAGACATTGATACATACATGGGGTTGTGGGAAAACTGGCTTCTCTGTCCCTCTGCACCTTCCTGACATTTATGTGTGTGTGTATACATGAAACCGAAGGTTCCTTCTAAACTTACGAATCTGCTCCTTTTCTGCATTTCAGATTTTCCTTTTTGTTGCACGTCCTAAAGGTGGGAATTGGTGACAGGGTATCACCAAGCAGCAATCAAAAGTAGCTAATAGGGTTGGAAAAACAATGAAATACCTACAGTGGAAGACTGGAAGATAAAAGTAACGGAACTTGCAGAAATGGCAAATGACCGGTCTGGTCAGAGAAAAAATGACAAAGATTTTTTCGAAAGACTGGAAACCTTGTATGGACTTTTTGTTGAAAGAAGAAAAGATCGAATTGATGATTTCTGGATTTGGGGATTAGGAGGGGATGAAGAGAATGGGGAAAAGAATAAGATGATAAGTACTTGATAGAAAGAAGGGCAGGAGGCATAATTGTATGTTTTCTTTTCATTCCCTTTTTCTCTCTTTCTTACTTTCTCTTTTCGTTTATTTTATATACTTTTATTGTATTGAATATATAAAATACAATAAAAGTGTACAAAACAAACAGGAAGACACAGTAAGAAAAAGAGAAAAAGAAAGGGAATGAGAAGAAAATATACATATATATTGTCATATCTATATATATCTATCTAGACACACACACATACACCAGAACACAGCAGTGGTGGTAGAAGTAGCGGTGCCAAGTGACAGCAACATCAGGAAGAAGGAGCATGAGGAGCTGGAGAAGGACCAGGGCCTGAAAGAGGAACTAGAGAGGATGTGGAAAGTCAAGGCCACAGTGGTCCCAGTGGTGGCAGGAGCACTCGGGGCCGTGACTCCTAAGCTAGGAGAGGGGCTCCAACAGATCCCAGGAACAGCATCTGAGCTCTCTGTGCAGAAGAGTGCAGGGCTAGGAACAGCTCAGATCCTGTGCAGAAC